GCTGCATTAGTTTCTTCACCCAATGCTATTCATTCCTCCGCGCCTCCCCCCTACGCCTCCACCCTTCCTCACTTCCCTTGCCCTGTCCTGCACTTCCATCGATGTCAGGGCGCCGAGGACGCGACGACGGCGGAGCGGGCCGGGTGGTTCCACGAGATTGACGACGTGTTTGGGCAGGAGACAAAGCGGTACTATGTGCTCTTTGGCTGGGAGCAGTGCCAGCTGCTCGTATACAAGGGCGTGCGCGACGGCCAGCCCTTCTGCCGCACACACACGCACGAGCTGTCGCCAGATATGGCCATCAGCGTGGTGGAGAAGGTGCTGACGATTGTGTCGCCCAAGTGGACCATGCAACTCGAGGCACCGAGCGCGTACCAGGCGACAGACTGGGCCGGGGCGTTGCGGTCCGTGCGGCGGCTGATGCGCGCAGCTGATGCCGAGTACCGGCAGAAGCGCGAGGAAGAGGCGCATCGGCAGCGCATGGAGCTGCTGGCACGGGAGGAGGCCGAGCGGGACAGAAAGCGGCACGAGGCCGCGGAGATTGCCGAGAAGGTGCGGCAGCTGCAGGAATCACCCACGCCCCCGGCCGATGTGAACCCCGACCAGCAGCAACAGCAGCTGCTCACACTCGACCAAGAACAGCAGCAGCAGCAGCAGCAGCAGCAGCAGCAAGGGAGCAACGCGCCTGCGATGCAGTTGCAGAGACGAACGTGGACACAGCAGCGACGACGACGGCGACAGGAGGGCCCGGTGACGGTAGTGGCGATGTTGCCAGCGCAGCGAACAATGCAAGCGGTAGTCGGCGGGCGTCTGTTGCCCGCGTGGACGAGGTTGAGTTGGAGGAGCGACATAAGGCCATTGCTCCACCAGACGTCCTCGCTGCCCAGGAACCGACCCAGCAAGGTGCGTGTGTGGCGGTGGGGGGACTGTGTGTATCTGTGTATGTGTGTATGCGTGTTTATGTATCTATGTGTGCGTATGTGCGTGTATCTGTGTACATGTGTGTGTGTATCGATGTGTCTATGTGCGTGTGTATGTGTGTGAATCTATGTCTTTGTCTGTGTGTTTGCCGTTGCCTTGCTTCCCACGCTGCTGTTCCTCACCCTGTCTGCCTTCCCAACCCCAACCCCAACCTCTTTCCCCCTCTCCGCGACAGACACGAGCAAGTCTGATGGCCAGCGTCGTCGCCGCCGCCGCCGTGCAGGCTGCTGCTGTTGCATCTCGTAGTCAACACCCACATGCACACACCACACCAACTTGTGCAAGCATTTGCTCTGCCTGCTTGCTTATTTCATTGACATGCTGTTAGACACTGCTCGTTCCCGCGCCATGCTTTGCTTTCTTGTAGCCCTGGCTGTAGGTAGCCCTTGGCTGCACCCTTGCTTTTCCCCCTCTGCTTTCCCCGTATGCTCCCTTCTCCTTGTTTCCCTTTCCCCTTCCCCCTTGTTTTCCCTTTGCTGCTGTGCATACATATGCTTGAAACACCCAAGTACATCACATCGACCAACCCAAGCAAGCAACCAAGCAAAGCAAGCAAGTAACCAAGCAAGCAACCAAGCAAAGCAAGCAAGTAACCAAGCAAGCAAGAAGCAAGCAAAGCAAGCAAGAAGCTTCTGTCTTCCTTGTTCTCCCATTCCAAAACTCCCATGCACACACAAAACGCGCAACAACGCTGCAAATAGCACACGAACAACAACGAAGATGAGTGCTCGTGACGCTTGTGTTGCAGCGGCACATGTGGACGCGGACGACGAGCGTTGCTCGCGCGGAGAAGACCCGGCAAGCACGAGAGAAGGCGGCGATGAACAAGGCGGCGACCGTGCACAGGAGGCGCAACAACAAGCCGAGGTCGTGCCCACAACCACAACCCACAGCAGCAGCGACGACAACGACACAGCGACAGCCACAACCTCGGATGCAGAGGAGGAGTCGAAGAGCAGCAACGACGAACTGGAATCACAGGCAAAGGAAAGGCCCGACGACCAGCGCCACTCGACACAAGCCCACAAACCCAAGAAGCAAGAGCCTGACATTGACCCACAGGTTGCAGCCATGCAGGAAGGAGCGGCGCAGGCGCTGGTGGGGCGACTCAAGCTCACCTCGGCCATCACCCTTCGCCTCACATGCAGCACGTCCTCAACAGTCAAGGTGAAATGCACGTAGCTGCAGCAGCTACCACAACACTCACCCTAATGCCTTGCACACCAGGCCATGACACTTGACACGTTTGTCAGCCCGCACATGTCCACACACACACACACACACACACACACACACACGCACACACACACACACACACACACACACACACACACACACACACACACACACACACACACACACACACACGCACGCACACACACACACACGCCACACACACACACACACCACACCATCCTCCTCACTTGTTGTTAATTGCACCCTGGCTTGCAGGTGACCTACTCCAAGGGCACGCTGCAGTTTGAGCCGACAGACAAGGCGCCGAGGCGCATGGCAAAGCTGCTCAAGAAGACATGGGTGCCATACTGTGAGTCTGCGCGACACCATTCTGCTTTCCATGGGGCTCGTGTTGTCGCATTCACACACACACACACACACACACACACACACACACACACACACACACACACACACACACACACACACACACACACACACACACACACACACACACACACACACACACACACACACACACACACACACACACACACACACACACGCCATGGCGTTCGCCTCACGTTCACCGCACCGCCACCATTACACCGGAACGCGTTTCCGTCTGCAGTCTATGCGCGCTCTGGCCTCCTATGCGAGCAGAGCAGCCTGCACTTCATGATCATCCGGTGCCACGAGCCGGGACAGACGAAACAGAACACCTCCATCTTCTACCTCGGCTTCAGTCGGGAGTCGGAGCTCATGGAGTGGTTCCGGCTGCTGGGCGCCGTCATGAACATGCCAACCATCAAGCCCTTCTTCATCTCCGAGGAGCAGGTTACGGTCTGCAAGCGCCTTGGTGCTGGCGCCTTTGGCTCCGTCTACAAGGGCAAGTTTGGCGAGCACGATGTCGCCATCAAGTTCCAAAAGGTGGGCAATGCGTGTGTGCTGGATGGTCTGTGTGTGTGTCTGTCTGTCTGTCCGTCCGTCTCTGTCTGTCTGTCTGTCTGTCTGTCTGTGTGTCTGTGTGTGTGTGTGTCTGTCTGTCTGTCTGTCTGTCTGTCTGTCTGTGTGTCTGTGTGTCTGTCTGTCAGCCTTCCCCTGTCCTTCTCTTCAAGCTAGCTGTATATCTGCCAACGGCTCAAACTCCTTCCTTGACCACGCGTGTGACCACACCTTCCCGTCATCACCACCACCGCACTCCTCGTGCCCCCCCCCCAAAACAAATGCAGGCGCTGGAAGACGATGTGGAGGCGATATCCGAGTTTATCAACGAGGCTGCACTGCTTGCCGCCCTCGACCACCCCTGCCTCACCCGCCTCCACGGCATTTACACCCGTGAGACGGACAACCAGGGCTTTCCCGTGTTGGAGCTCGTCCTCGTCATTGAACTCTGCACCGGTGGTAAGTTGGTGTGCGAGTGTGTGTGTGTGTGTGTGTGTGTGTGTGTTTGTATGTGTGTGTGTGCGTGTGCGAGTGCACTGTTTGTATGCTCTTGCAAGGGTACATGCGCCCTGCTTTCACAATCACGCCATCACCACCACACCCTGCTTATCACGTGCTTGCAGGCACGCTGACAGACCACATCAACCGCATCAAGCCAACCGACCTCAATGCACACCGCAGCGAGCTGCTGCGACTCATGCACGAGCTGTTTACGGGATTGGCCTATCTTCACGCCAGGGTACGCCTCTCTTTCTGATGTGCATCTGGTTTTCGTTTAAGCGTGCTTTCGCGCATTTTCAACGTTGCCTAGTGTGTGTGTGTGTGTCTGTCTGTGTGTGTCTGTGTGTGTCTGTGTGTGTCTGTGTGTGTCTGTGTTGTGTCTGTGTGTGTCTGTGTGCGTGTGTGCGTGTGTGCGTATGTGTGTGTGTGTGTGCGTATGTGTGTGTGCGTGCTTGGTTTTCTATACGCTCTCTTTCCCTCACGCCCATCCCCCCCCCCATCGCCTCACCTACCCTCCTCCAACACATCCCCTCACGCCGTCACCCCCCCCCCCTGTCCATCGCCCCTACAGGCTGTGGTGCATCGCGACTTGAAGCCGGACAATCTGCTGCTCACCGCGGACGGCCACCTCAAGATCTGTGATTTCGGACAGGCCAAAAACATCAGCGGCAGCGGCTCCAGACACATGACAGGTGCTGACGGTGGAAGTCTCGCTTGTGTGTCTGTGTGTGTGTGTGTGTGCGTGCGTGTGCGTGCGTGCGTGCGTGTGCGTGCGTGCGTGTGCGTGCGTGCGTGTGCGTGCGTGCGTTGTCAGTGAACGCTGTTGGTTCTTTCGTTCCATGGCACAGTCAACTGCCCAAGCCACAATCCACCCACTCACACTCACTCACACACACGCACACACGCACACACACACACACACTCACACTCACACGCACACATTAGCCAATGTGCGAGGGTCCTTGCTATGGCGTGCCCCTGAAATCATGACTGGATTGCGCAAGGAGACGAGCGCACGTGCATCACGCATCACCTACTACGACACAGCGGTCGACATCTACTCGGCGGGTATTGTCATGTGGCAGACCCTGACGCGGAAAGTGCCCTACGAAGACATTGAGTCGTCGTTTGACATTGAATTGGGCGTTGCGCGCGGGACGCTGCGTCCACCTGTCGACGACATCTGTATGCCGCGCATCCAGCGCATCATGACGAAATGTTGGGCACAGCGGCCCGACGACAGGCCGAGTGCGCTGGAGGTGGTGACGCGGCTGGAGTCGTCGCTGCTGTTTGAGTGCACGGAGCCGGACGACGAGGAGGAGGCCGAGTTGCAGTGCACGCTGCACGAAGCGCAGCAGAAGCACAAGGCAGCAATGTGCCCATTGACAGACCGGGCAATGCCATTCCACTTTGAACGGCAGGCGCGAAGTAGCGGCGATGGAACCGGCGACAAGGCCGGCGGCAAGCAGGGCGACCACGGGCACGACGACGACCACCACCATGCACAGGGCACGGCCACGGTTGGCGATCTCGTGTTTGCGCGGGACGGGGACATTTCGCTTGATGAGCAGCTGAAGACGCTCGACTTCATTCGCCGCGAGATTGAACTCTTGCGCACACACAAGAACGTGCAGGTCACGATTGCGACGATGGTGGAGGCCATGCGGCAGCCGGACATTGGGCTGTGTCTCGCCAACAACACGTTCCTCGGCAAGTCCATCCCAGAGTCGTTTGTTGGGCGGCAGATGACCAAGTGGCTGATGGACATTGGCGGCCTCTCACGCAACAAGGCGCAGGAGGTGGCGCAGCTCACTCGCGTACGTCGCAGCGGCGATGGTGGAAGCGATGTTTGGGGGGGGGGAGAGGAAGGAAGGGGTGGTAGGAGTGTTTGTGTTTGTGGTGTTGCGAGCTTTGTTGTTGTTGTTGTTGTTGTTGTTGCTGTTGTTGTTGTGACATGTTCTTGAGAATGTGTTGGAACGCAAACCAAACAACGACACACCTGTGTTCATTTTCGCTTGTGTGAATGTGCGTGTGTGCATTGCATTGACAGGAGGTTGGCTGCATTGAGCACACGTTCCGCTCCTTCGGGTTCAGCCCACGCTGCTACTTCAAATGGGCAAAGGTTTGTCACAATTCTACTTGCATTGTGCTTGTGTGTGTGTGTGCGTGCAAGAACATGCGTGTACATTCGCTCCTATTTTGGAGTGTGCTTGGGATACAGCTCCTGTGGAATCTGTGTCCCTTCACAGCCTGCCTGCTCCGGTCTGCACGGTGTTGTCGACTCACGCAATGTTCCTTGCTTCCGTGTTTGATGCGACAGGGCACGTCATACACACAAGGGCTTCTGAAGCTTGTCCAATATGTGTGATTGTCAAAACATGCTCTGCTTCCGTGACTGATTTCGTTGCCGGTTTGGCGCCTGCTGTTCTTGCCTTTTTCCATTCCGTCTGTTTGTCGTTGTGCTTCGCCCTCGTTCCTGCTCTTTATTCACATGCCCTATAGCCTGTTGTCAGTGTTCCCCCCCCCCCTTTTTTTTTTTGTTGTGGTGCGAACATGATTCTTCACACTGTACATCCTGAACATACGATTTGCGATTTGCACCCCGCTGTGATTGACCCTGCTGTATCTGTCCTGTTATTCGTGTTGTTTCATACCATATGCGCTGGTGTTGGTTGGGGTCTTGTCTCCATTACACAGTTACAGTTGTGTATTGAGAAGAAAAGGGAAGCACGCAGAGATATGGAACGCAAGGTATTTTAAAAGACAAGAAGAAGCAAGCACAGGCGGAACAAAACGGTACGAGCATGCATCAGGAATGGGCTTGAGCAAACGAAAGATCGTACAAGAAGATCACTTGTGCCTTTGAATGTGAAGCGGGCTGTGTCGGTTCACTTGCATGTACGTTTGCATATGTTGTGTACGTTGTGTGAGTGAGTGTGTGTGCGTGTGCGTGCGCGTGCGTGTGCGTGCGTGTGCGTGTGCGTGTGCGTGTGTGTTTTTAGAGTTGTGCGCGCGCGCGTGATCGTAGAGGCGGCGCTACAGCGGCTGCCGCAGCACTGACGAGACCACTGCCAGCAGTTGCAGTCCCATCGCCTCCGCTGTGGCCCGGCGGTTCGCTTCGTCGTCGTTGACATCATCCAGGCTGCGTGCCGGCTTGTCTGCGTTGACAATCAGGGGCTCGTAGGCGTATGCAGGCTGCATGCACAGCGCCATGCTCCGCCCAAACTCGCTCTCCGGATCACTGGTGACGGTTGGTTGTGTTTGTGTGTTTGTGTGTTTGTGTGTGTGTTTGTGTGTGTGTGTGTGTGTGTGTGTGTGTGTGTGTGTGTGTGTGTGTGTGTGTGTGTGTGTGTGTGCGCGCGCATGTGTGTGTGTGTGTGAGTGAGTAAGCGTGTGT